CATGGCAAACTTAAATGCCTCAGGATTTCACTCTTCTCAATTAAGGCATGAACAATGTGTGTATGTTACAGTGTTGGCAACAACACCCTCCAAAAACATATCATTATATAACATCAAGGCATCTTCCATCTTATCAACTTGCACAAACCAAAGATCAGAGAATTGAATGTAAATACATCAGGTTTACATCCTTTGCTTGGCATTTCATAAAGCATTTGCTGAGCTTCTTGAACTCTCCCAGCCTTGCATAAAGCAGATATCAAGCAGTTGTAACCCACAGTATTCAAATTTACGCCTTTACATGACATTTCGAATAAGATATTCTTGGCTTCCTCGAGCCGACCCTCCTTGCAGAAACCATCAATCAGAATTGTGTAAGTGACTACATTAGGTTGACAGCCCCTAATCAACATCTCATTGACCAACTCCAGAGCTGAACCAAAACACCCCTTCTTGCAAAACCCATGAATTAGTTTGTTATATGTAAATAAATCTGGAGCACAACCAACATTTAACATGTAATCATACAAAACTTTAGCTTCGTCAAACCGTCCACTAGCCACATACCCATTAATCAGTGTACTGAAATGTACAATATTTGGGTCAGGAACTCTGTTCAACAAGGCCCTTGCTTCGTCAATTCTCTCCATTTTACACAAGCCATCCATCAAAAATCCATATGTCAAATCATTAGGAGTAAAACCTTTGAGCAGCATCCGATCAACCATTTTTATTGCTTCATGAATACGATTGACTTTGCAAAGCCCATGGATAATATCATTGAAGGTCTCAACATCAGGTGCACAACCCATTAAGAACATTTCCTCCAGAAGTTCTGATGCTTCATTCACTCTGTTACTCTTAGATAGTGCATGTATAAGAGTTTGGTAAACTACTGAATTTGGCACACATCCATATTTTGTCATATCTCTAAGGAGTGAGCATGCGGAATCAACTTCTTTGACCAAACAAAGTGCTTTCATTACCACCCCAAAAGTGAAGACAGTAGGGGGAACACCCTTATCGAGCATGTCATAGAAAACATTTGGGGCAACTTCATGACATTTTCCATCCACCAGTACCTCCAATACAGCATTATATGATTTAAAAGTGGGTTCACAAGAGTAAATATTCCTCATATCCAATAACAGCCTATTAGCTTGCCCAGGCAAGCCAGCTCTCCCATAATTTTTCATAATCAAAATGAAAATACATTCTCTGAAAGTAGTACCATCTTCTTTCATTTCCATCAATAACTTATCTATAATTTTAAATTCACCAGCCAACCCAAGCTTATTAATTAACACATAGAACACACGAAATGAGTGGCGATAACCCTTCTGGCTGCCTGCCCACTTGAATAAGTCCATTGATGTGGGAACATCAAGTGGTAGCTCAAGTAATTTACAAAGCTTAAAGGGGGTAATCTTATTGAGTGATTTTCGAAGCTCATCAATATCAAATGGCTTAAGTAACTTTTCCCATTCATTCTCCAACATTGATGCATTAATGCTCTGTACAGTGTCACTATTATTGCTTTTACTATAATACCTAGATGAAATAATCTTCAAAAAACATGTTTTAGGGGAAGAATGAAGCCTTTTGCATGCGACTGATGCAAGCTTTAATATTACCAACATTAGGACGATTTCCCAGGTAATCTGAACTGCAAAAGGAGACAGTTTCCAATCTCCACAATCTAGAAGCAAACAAGAGGAAAAATAGCCATGACCTATTACTGGCTCAACTTATTTCTTCACTAGAGTGATGATTTCTTGGTAACTTGAACTGCCAAAATAGATAGTTTTCAGTCTCCAAGATGAAATAACAAGCATACATCACTGGAACATAACAAGCAAAGGAGACTAACTTAACATTACAACAGTAAATTGAGAAGATTGCAGGTGTAGCAAGTGATTTTTCTTCCTGGTGAAACTAGAAGACAATACCGTGAGCTGCTTTGTTGGGAAAAAGGTTATGGAGTGTTTTCATAACTTAAAGGATATACAGTTAAAATTGATACAAAGTGCATTTTTATTCCTTCATGTTAATATGGTCTAAAATTATTTTGTTGTGTTTTAAAAAAAAACATGTACATTATTTAATATACTTATAAATAACGTTCTCTTTTAATTAACTTGTTTTTGCAAGAATATGTGGATGATGAGCAGAGAAACCAGGTGTCATGGAGGATGTCTTGTTTTCTGTAATTGACTTATTTCATTATCTTCTTAATAATAGTTCTAAGCTAAACCCGGTGCTTGAGCTTGAAAAACGTGCACACAATGAACCTGTTGATTCTAGAGAAGGAAAGGGAATCCTTAGAATTAGACCAGCTTCACCTTCCACCACATAGTGGTAAAAATCCATAAGGTTCAATGTACCCATAATTTCAATAAATTCCTCAATACAACTCCTTGACATAGTTTCCCGCAATTGCTCATAAGCACATAAGCACATAAGACCATATAGAAACAAGCAACCCATGATGCTTCCCATCTTCCTCCACATTCTTCAAGGTTGCTACAAAGCATCTCCCTCTCTCTCAGGGAGGTTCAGGGCAATGTGAGCTACAAAATTGCCAAGAAACTATCTTTGGTCAAGGATGCTCTGAAGCCGTGGGGTAAGGAGACATTTGGGGAAACAGTGAGGAAAGGGGATGAGATATTCTCTGAGTTGACTAAACTACATAGTCTGGAGGGAGAGAGGGGCATGGGTAGAGAGGAGACAGAGAGAAGGTAGTGTATCTGGCTAGAACTAGCCAACATATTGATTATGGAGGAACTGGAACAGAAATAGAAAGCCAGAGAAAAATGGATCAAAGAAGGGGATAAAAACACAAAATTCTTCCACAGATTGGCTACTTATCATAGAAAAGTAAATTACTTGGAGGAGCTGGCAGTGAGGATTTGAGTAGCTAAAAGGAATGAAGAGTCGAGGGGAAGATTAAATCATATTTTAAGGATTTGTACACTGAGAGCTCCCAGTGGAGACTCTCTAGACAACTTGGAGTTTGATAGTTTGGACCACCAAGATAGAACATTATTAACGAGCTTTATAGAGCAGAAGATTTTTTAGTGACTTATGGACTGCAAATGTTATAAATTCTCGGATCCTAATGGTTTCAATTTGAGTTTTCTCCAAAACCAAGATAGAACATTATTAACAAGCTCTTTTGTTAAGAGTCCTAATTCCACTTTCCTCGTATTTATTCCAAAGTTTGAAGGTGCAACTAATAGCAAGGATTTCATGCCAATCAGTTTGGTTAGTGAAGTTTACAAGACCATTGCAAAAGTCTTGACTAAGAGAATATCTGAAGCAATGGAAATGGTTGTTGGTATATCTTAGCATACTTTGGTGAGTGGAAAACAGATTCTGGATGCGGCCCTCATCGCCAACAAGGTCATTGACGGCCTCCTAAAGAGTGGGATGAATGAGATCCTATGTAAGCTAGATGTGGAGAAGGAATATGATCATTTAACTTGGAGTTTTGTGTTTTGTATACTGAACAGGTTGGCCTTTGGTGAAAATTTGTGTAGTTGGATTAAAAGCTTGCATTACATCTGCATCGTTTGCAAAGAGTTATAGAAGTGAAATGTGGTGTAGCTGAGAAAGAATGGTACACCAGAACATTGATAAGACAACATGGAAAAGGATTGTTGAAAAAATTTGCACGGGAAGAATCAGATTTCAGGCATGTATCAAATAGAATACTGGAAAGGGCGACCAAATCAGTTTTTGGCAAGACCTGTGGCTGAAGGATGGCGCCTTGGGAGATCAATATGCTCAGATTTTCATCATACCTCAACAGAAAGATATTTTGGTTAGTGACAATCTCAGAAATATTTGAGGGGCAGGGGGGGAGGGGAGGAACCTATATGGAGTCTTACTAATTCAGAATCCTTTTCAGTCAAATTCTTTTACAGGCATTTGACTAAGAAGGAAAATGAAGGTAACAAGTTTTCTTTTATATAGATATTGAAGCTAAAGTTCCTCCAAGAGTTGCTCTCTTTGCGTGGAAGCCAGTACAGGTTGCATTCTGATTATTGATAAATTGATAAGGAGAATGACTATGATGAATGGGTACTGCTTGTGTAAAGAGCTGTGGAGACTTGTGGTAATGTCTTTTTATGGTGCCTGGTAACATACAAGCTATAATTGATGATTTTTAAAATAAATAAATAAATATGATTGTTGATTTATAGCGTATTGGGTATTAGTTGGGCGATGGCAGGTTTAATCAAAGATGACATCTAGGCATAGAAGAGCATAAGTCGGTGAAGGAAATGCATGGACCTTATCCCACTCACCATTTTCTGGATGTTATGAAATGAGAGGAATAGAAGAGCTTTTGAGGGAGTCTAGGATGAGAAAGATTTTGATAAGATTAGGAACAAATGGTTCCAGACTATTAAATTTTTTATTTTGGATCATCCTCTTTATTCAATGGAGGATTTGGGGGATCTTATTGATATCTTAGTAGAAATGTAAATAATTTGCATACGGGTTAGCAGCTCCTTAGTGCTTGTTAATATAATTCATACTTTTATTCAAAAACTGCATCGTTTGCTACTATGGTGAATGGAGGTCTGTCCGGTTTTTTTTTACCTTCCAGTGTGGCTGTTCGGAGTGACACAGTTGACAAGAGAACATATCACTTGGTGGCACGGGATTGGGTGAAACAACCATTAGAGAGGGTGGTTTGAGTTTGCGATCTTTTGACGATGTTAAATAGAGCTCATCAAGGAAAATGGATGATTATGGCTTGTATTCTAAAACTCCTAAGGATCGACATGGGGTGGGCCTATAGAAGAGAATCTGCATAGAGAGAGGAGTGTTCTACGAGTGCATGAATTGGAGAATGGAGTTCAGGTCAAAGTGAGTTTTTGGAGAGATGAATAGTGAGGGGGAGAGAGGTGTTGGTTCTTTATGCAATCAATTCCCTAATATTTTTGCTATTGCCCTAGATAGGGACGCCATAATAAATAATTATATGGCAAGCAAGGAGATCATGAGGGTTGGTGGATAGGCTTAAAGAGAAATTTAAATGATTGGGAGGTCTCGGAGTCTATAATGCGGGAACCTGGAATCTTATTGTTGCCTGATTTAAGAGGAGGCTTGCAGGGTGGAAGAGAAATTTTCTACTCAAGGGCGGTCGTTTAACACTTATCAGAAGCACATTATCCATTTGCTCAGAGATTGTGAAGTTTGGCTTATGGCCTTTTGGAATGGATTGAGTCATAGTTGATCTTATGAAGGAGTTATGTGTTTGGCATGGTATTCATGGGAATAGAGAGAGGCTCATTCTGCTGGCTACTTTCTGGTTGATTTGGAAAGAGAGGAATAGAAGGATGTTTGAAGGCATTAAATCCAATTTTGACAAATTCAATGATAATTGGTTCTGTAATATCTGAGTTTTTTGTTAAGGAGTCACCTACTGCCTTTTAGTGAGGATTTTGAGGATCTTACAGATATTTTGATTAACTTGTAACTATTGTATACGGGTTGCATCTCCCTGTTGCCACTGAATATATACTTTTATTTCAAAAAAAAAATTATTTTTGCAAGGACATTTATCTTTGTTAAAAAATAGTAAAAGCCAATCTTAGCCAATTCTCCTGCACATTCTCACAATTTGTTGAAAGAAATTGGATAAGATATTACTTATCTGTATGTCCAAAGCCAAGGATGTACAAATTGAACCAACTTTACAGAATAACCCCAGCCCAATATAGTTTTAAATCAACTAAAAATCCAAAAATTCAGCAAGCAATACATACAAATCAATGAAAACCAAGTAGTGTACCAAGTAAACCAGAAAGCAGAAAGCAGCATATGAAGAATGTCTGAGAGATTGACACTACTAATAATTACATATTGAAGAATTCTTTATTACTGCATCTACTGTGGTATAAACTTATAATTAAAATAAAGATACATACTTGAATATCACACCCCTCCCAAGATGTGTTCAACCCAACCACAACACCTCATAGATCCACTTCCACACGCCTAGAAAGTGCCCAAACATAAAAAAAAATTTTTTGCTGTCAAGTAATCTTATCAGGGGTAATTGCTCTCAATGTGTTTGCTATTTGTTACAACCGGGCATCACGGTGGCCAAGACTCGCAAAAAATATCATTTTCTAAACTTTTTCCAAAATTCCTTTTAGCATTGTCATTGATCTTATTGGAAGCATGATCTGACATTAAAATTAGCATTGGTCAACCTAGAGAAACAAAGTTTGAGAAATAGTACTAGATGGAAAGAGATAAGGCACTCATCCGGTGGCATATATTCATTAGCTTTGGCTAAGAATTTTCTATTTAGGACTTAAATTAAAATTAAAACATAATTAAATATAAATAACGAAGAAAGGAACTGAAGATAAAATAACCAAGTGAAGTTCTCAAATTAATGCAAGGATCTCCAAAAGGTGTCTTCTATGTGAATTATAACCAAACCCTTTAATCTTAACCAAGTACGAAAATAACAAGCAACACATGAATTCCATTTAGCCTAAACAATTTTATGATGAACACATAAGAAAAAGGAAAACTCTAATTCATGCAACCATTGATACCCAGTGAGTGAGATCAAAAATAGGAGGGAATATATAATCTCTAAAACCTCATCAAAAGACGGAAAAGAAAATGCATTAGACTAGCTATCCAACTTTAATGACCCAAAGAAAAGATAGTATGTTGGAACAACAACAAAACAAGGAGGATAAAAATAGTAGCAAAATAACCTTCTCTAGAAAAGAATGAAAGCTTCTAAAACCAGCCATGGTCCTTCACCCCAGCCCAGTCGGTTAGTGACTGATTAGACATGAAGGTGGAAAACCACACCAAGATAAGCCTTTAAGTAAATCAATGGTTCCATCCATGGTGAAAACAATATTTTCCAATGCTCCCTGTCTCGTAATTTCTAGATGTATCCCAGGCATCCTAAGTTCGGAGCGATAAGACCACGTAGGTGAAGAGCTCTATGGATCGAGTAAAGTGAGAAAAGAAAAAGAAAAGGAAAAGTAAAAATAGTAAACTGCAAAAAGTCAAAAGCATAACATTCAAGCATTCTAAACACACTTCAAAAATTCCTAAGAACCATTTAACTAAACAGATGTATGCTAGCAAAGAAAGAAGTTCATCATATCACTCAACAGCACACTCAGACGCCACGGTTCAACAGTTTATTAAACATATTTGCTTATCGATATCCCCAAAAATCAAATTCAAATCGAGAATCGCCATTTTAAAACATATTAAAACCGTAAACTCAGAGGAACGAAGAAAAGAGGGAGATTTGTACCACACTTGAGCTTTTCCTTTTTACTTCAAGCTGGCCGAATCACAGCCTTTTCCAAAAGCACTCTGTCTCGGATTCGGTCTCCCCTCTAACTCCTAAAGCTTTTTGGCTCTAATGCTCGATTTCTCTCCGGTACCTCCTCTGATTTTCTCTCTCCCTGTCCTGAAAAAGAAGCCCCGAGAAGGAATTCGAAAGCTCCTCCCTTTTCTGGAGTCCTTTGCGCTCTCAAGCTCTCTCCTCTCGGCGCACTTCGTCCACATCATAATATGATTTTTTCTCCGTTTCTTCTACTCTCGGTCTCTCTCCCCTCCTGATCTTCTTCTTCGCCAAAACTCCCCTATGGTCTGTTTCTTTTCAGTTCGAAAACATCCTCGCCGAGCCCCCAGCTTACTACATCTCCTCCATTCAAATCGCCCATCTCTCTCCTCTTATAGACGCGGCTTGTTCCTCTCTGTGCACGACTACCCTCGAGTCACTGTCTGCCTCCTCCAACGGCATTTGTTTTTCCGCTTTTCATTGCGTTATCCTTCCCGATTCCAATGTCTCCTTGTTTTCTTCTTCAAGTGTGTGCCCAGAAGCGTGCTCGGTGGCTTCTCTTCTGATTCTCTCCTCTCGCGGTATCTCTTTGCTCTGTTTCTCCTGTTTCTCATCAGATCGGTCTTCCTTCATCTAGAGGGGGAAAAGAAAAAGAAAGGAATTTCCCAAAAACGTCACCGTTTGGGTAAAGCATAGCAGAGGGATGGGAATGGGCCTGCATGTTGGGCCGGCTCTGGTCCCCTGTTTTTATCTTGCTCTGGGCTCCTGTAGGGATTGGCTTTGGGCTGTGTTAAGCTCCCGTTTAAAGACAGATGTCCAACTTTTCCTACAAAATTTGCGATAGATTTTGTATTTCATTACGTTAATAAGGAGAATGAAATTTAAAATAAAATAAAATAAAATAAAAAAAGTAAAGAGCATTTTAGAAAATACTTCATTAGATTATTCTCATATCCTATATTAGCTGGAAGTACTTTTTATTTATAGAAGTCCAATGAGAAGTAAATGACCAATTTGTCCAACAAAATTTGGAATAGATTTTTCCCTCATTATGTTAGCTCATATCCTATTCTAGCTGGAAAAACTTAATAACACATCTGACAGGAGCAAAGGGGTTGATCTGAGTGTTCCTATATAAATGAACATGAAAGGAAACAAAGAAGAGAAAGAAGAAAACTATTGTACTACATGTAAGAGGAGTAAAACTGCTGCTTTGGCATTTGACGTTCTCACATGAAGTAATTATAAATTAGATTTGACTGTCTCTTTTGACTTTTCCCACCTTTTATCCTACAAATGATAGCAAGTCAAGTTTTCCGCACAATACAATTTTTACACCCACATTCAATTAGCTTACAGAAAATCTTGAGTTTATTTCTGGAACATTTTATCCTTCATGCATAGCCTTGGCAGCATCAACTAGCGCAGGCTTAAAACCATCTGATGTTCGGCCAAGCACAGAGTATCCATCGCTGTCTTCCGCATCCACATCTGCTCCATGTCTTACAAGGAGGAGTGCTACCTGTTGACAAATACAGATCATATAGACCTAAGATAGTGCATATTGGCTCCGATGAGTTTATAACAATCTCAGGCATACATCATAAGAGCTTCAAGTAAAACAGTGCATTACTTTCAATTGGTAGCATAAAGAGGTAAAGAATCAATTAATGTAAATGTATCAACCACCAAGGAAACAAATATAAATAGGACTCTCAAGAAAAAACACAAATAGGAAATTATGGGGTCAATATTTTGGCTTCAATATTATTCTCTTTCACATGCATTTCACAATCAAAGACATCTCGAACTTGACAATTTGTTAAGTAAAAAAGCTCCTAACAAATATAAGGATAAAACCATTATTTACATTATTTGCATAGGTGGTGGTGCTCTTTTCTGATATTATGTAAAGACAACATGTCAGAACATCAAGAAAGATTCCCACCTCCAAGTCCATCATTACGGCTGGGATTGCACTTTTGCAGTCTGAAAATAGCGCATTGAATCAACATCCAAATTTAGCCCAAAATGAGATTAAAATGCATCCCAACCAGACTTTGAAAGAAGTCCTCTTTACTGAGATTGCATTAAGTTGTCCTTTAGGTTAGGTTTCCTATGCATATTAAGATTTTCTTTCTAAAAAATGAATATTAAGATTTTTATTACGAATTATAATTTAGGCAGAAAAAAAAGGGTAAAAACAAAAGTTATGGGAATGCAGAAGCAAAAAGATAGGTCCAACCAGAAACCAGGCGAGAGAAAGATGTATCCAGAAGACAGCATAACTGCCATTTTTGCCTGAGTGATCTAGACAAACATTACCTCATTGTTGTGGCAAATCACAGCATGCATAAGAGGAGTCTGACCAGCTTTGTCGGTGGCATCAACCTCAGCTCCTTCCTCAATTAAAAGTTCGCACAATTCTGAATGCCCTGTGCTAGCTGCCCTATGCAATGGAGTGCAACCAACCTGAATGTGTAGCATGTCAACTAATTAACTATGAAGAATACGGATCAACAGGAAGATACATCAGCAGCAATAAAATGTAAAAGTTGAAAAAGGGGAGTGAAAATAATGAGACACAAGAAATAAAATGCTGTTTAAGTTATAAACCTTGTCCTTCACGTTAATTTTTGCACCATGTGCAATCAGAAGTCCAGCAATCTTCATCCACCCCTTGCTGGCAGCATAATGAAGAGCAGTTCGACCACCATTATTTTTCAAATTAACATCAGCCTCTGTTAACAATTGATGATTGATTACTTTGACCACAGTACAGATCAGAATTCTTGTAATTCAAAGGGATGAATATAGCATCTATGAAAAGGAGAAAATAAAAAAAGAACCCATATCGAACATATCAGCTATGTCACCATAAATTCTTGCTACAGCAGACTGTTCTGACCTAGATGATCCAAATGAGAGTTAGTTTATTTAATTGATTCAGAGTCTAAGCATTGATATGAAAATGTTGGAAGATCATAGTAGTTAAGCCAGTAGTATACCCTAACAACTACACTGCAATAGCCTCTTCTTTTTGCATACATTGAATTGCGTTCACCATTGTGAATAAGGTTCTCCAAAAGGTAGGGTCAAAGGGTCACAAGTTAAGGCGCAGGAACAACTATACTATTAAACTGGTAAAGTTAGTGGCATCTGCGATGCCATTGCTAACTTGAAAGCATGAACTTTAACTCACACAAGATAATTTAACTGGATCAATCCAGTATGTTGCAAGAGAAAAGAATCACAAGCTTGCAGTCCTAGGAAAAGTAAGCGCGTCTCCTCTTGCAAATTCACTGGAAAATTACAAAATCCCAAGTCTAACATGTAAATAAGAAGTTACTCACTTCTGCTCAATAAAATTTCCACAATTTCCACATTGCCAATGCTAGTTGCTGAATGGATAGGCGCCCAGCTTTCCTCGTCCGTGCCATTCACTATACTCCCGGATCCATCAGCAGCTGACAGTACTCTAACCACCTGATATTTCATCAGCATAAGCAACTCCTAAATGAAATAGAACGACAGAAAATAAAAAATAAAAACAACCTAAAGACGAAGGCATTGGGGGAATGGTGGGGAGGGGGGCGTTCCTGCACTTTTACGCATCGTAATGATTTTGAAGGTAACTATGAGTTGTTTCGGAACAGAAAAACAGACCTCTGGGTGGCCGGAAGAAGCGGCGACATGGAGAAGAGAGCGACCATCTTCGTTCCTTAGAGAGAGCAATTTCGCCATTTGAACTGAAGATAGGGATCTGAACACGGAAGCATCGCCAGATTCTGCGGCTCTGAACAGGTCGTCATCTTCGATTCCTGGTTGATCTGCTTTCCTTCGGACATCGACGTCCATGGCGTGCTTGTACAGACGATTTCGGGTTTTAGGGATTTTAAGAGTCCCGGTAGCATATGTTATTGATATTTTTACATTTTTATTTTATATGACGAAAGGATAGATAATAGTTAAATATAACATATTTTTATCAATATATTTTTAATTTATTTGATATTTATATTCGTTCATATCTATATCTATATATATATATAGAGAGAGAGAGAGAGAGAGAGATGTATATGCAAATATTTAAAATTAATGTATGCATATCTAATGGTAACATTTGATTATAAAATATTTGATAATGATTATTTTAAATATTATTTTAATATTTCCTTTTTATAAATTATTAATTATAATTTTTTTTTTACTTTAATATATAACTATTTATAATACACATAAAATGCATAAACATATATAAAATATATATATACGTATATACATATATATATATATAAACTATTTATTTTAATATATAATACGAGAAGGATGGATTTTAAGGAGAAATGATATCACTATTACTTCTTTTTATTTATTTTTTTTATGTATATTATGGTTTAGGGTAAGGAGATCTTTTTGTTTATTGTGGTCATAGAAGGCTTTAAATGTTATGATTATGAGAGCCGCGAATTATTTTTAGAGGATTAAATTGAGAAGATAACTCACTTTGTTTTATGCAAATGGCCACTATATTTTTCAGTGAACCTAATGGAATAATTTTGTTGTTCTTATCATATGTGTGCTGATGGATTTTTAAGTAAAAAAAAATGGTGAGGGTGTTGAACAAATTTGAGAAAGAGGTTGTCTCGATGGAAGATATTTATTGCGTCATTATTTGCCCACATAAAATTAAATTGTAGTAATTTATTTGATTTGGATAAGTTTTAAAAGATTTAAGTTATATTTGAACCACACAACATAAATCATTATTTGAATAAATTGAAATAATAAAGCATTTATTTTTAAAATAAATAATATTTTTAAACTATTATATTTTAAAAAAACAAAAACAAAAATAAAAATCTAATTTCTCTGGAGCGTTAGCCCTGTAGTAACCCAGACATTCTAGAGAAGAATCAAAGGATGATTTGCAAGTTCCTGTTTTATTTACAAAGCAGAGAGGAAAACCAGAGAAGAAATCAGGCAGCAGCAAAACAGAGCAAGACACAAGAGAGACAATACTTCTTAAATATGAACTGTATTTACATGGCTCATATGATTTATTTATTTATTTATTTTTGTTCTAGACGAAACGCACTTAAGATTAAGCAGTAGTGATCAAATCAACATTCAACATGTAAATACCGTAAACAAAATGAGAAACAACCCACGAGCATGATGTGATTATATCACTAAAAACTAAAAGACAAGCTGACATCAACGAGTATTATCAGTTTTTCTTCAAGAAACCTTGAGCCATCTTCAAGTAATCTCCATATCCAGTTCCTGTATCTTGGCTGGAGTGCTCGTTAGCGGCGGCGGGGGTGGTGGAATGGGAGGTTTCATATTGGTGAAGATAGTTTTCAGCCTTGTCAACGTACTTGCCGAAGCTCTTCTCCTCCAGCTTCCCATAGTGCGAGGCTCCGGCTAGAAGATCCGCGGCAGCGCCGGCCGTTTTAGCCTTGTCGATGTTGGTGGTACCGTGTTGAAGTGTGGCTTTCGCAGCCCCAGCAACCACCTTCGCGCTGGAGAGCAACTCAGACGAAGATGGTTTCTTGTGATGGTGATCGGATTTGTGGTCAGTAAAAGTTGGATCCATCGATTGAGTTGCAGAGACGAGAGATTCACAAGTTTGTTTTGCAAGGTATTGCAGAGAAATGGGGACGGTGAGAAAGAAAGAAACTTGATTTTGTGGGTTAATCCGATTGGATGTTTTATATGTGGTGTTTGTTAGCCACACGGTATTCCTGATTTGTCAAGCGGAGCTCAGTGGTCCAGTTTCATGGCTGGAAATAGACCTGGCTGAATTATTGATACGCGACCCGCACGCGCTTAAGGAAATTCGACAGGTAATGGGGAAGAAGGTGTTTATAATAAATTTTTTTAAAGTACTGGTACATAAAATAATATTTATAGAAATGGGGGAAATAATTAATTAAAAATTTAAATATATTATTGTATTACTTATTTATTATCTTGACTCATTAATTCTCCTGTAATTATAATTTTTTAGTAAAACGTGTATATGTTCATCAGTTAATTTATATATATATATAAATTAATCTTAATAATAATAATTTTTTATTAATTTACAATCCATTTGTAAAAAAATGTAGTAATTATTCATTTAAAGAGTAATTAATTTTTGTAATCACAATTTTATTCAACTAATAAAACGTAATAATAAGTGTCTCAATTATAATAGTGATTGTATTTTTGTCGTTACCTTCTTATTCACAAATTAAACTTGTGTTATATTTTGTATATTGGAAAAAATTCTACAAATAAATTTTTATATTTGTCAAATTTAGAATATAAAAAGGTATATGCATTAATGACTTACAATACGTTGTACCAAATATTTGTGATAATTAGCACTAGCTTTTATATCACATTTCAAGAGAATTATTTTGTGTTTTTATTGATAACCATTTAAAAACATTATATTTTATTTTCAACTTAGTTGTTATAACTGTAATAACAAGGAAAAAAAAAAAAGAGGAGGGAAACGACGCCGTTTTAAAGAAGGAAAAACAACGTCGTTTTGCAGAGGGGAGAAAACGACGTCGTTTTGAGGAAAAACTAGAGTGATATAAATAGGTGGCGGGGGAAGGAAGGAAAGAGGAAAGAAAAAGAAGAAAACAAAAGGAAAAAAAAGAACAGAGGAAGAAGGGGAGCGGGAAAGAGAAAGAGTAGAGGACAGAAGGTTCTAGAAGAAGAGAGAAAGGAAGTGGAGCGGAGAGAAGAGGAGACTGCGGACGGTGACAACGCGATCGGCCGAAAGAAATAAGATGGAAATGGGAGGTACAGTAACAAACTTCAAATACGTGTGTTGATTTGAGTTTGAAATGTTTGGATGTGTAGCGTGCGTGGTGACGGCTTACGGAAGTAGCGATGTACGGAGGAGGCCGTGTAGCGTGAGTGTGTGCAATAAGGCGGGTGGAAGGAAGTTGGCCGCGTGAGAATCGCGGGAGGAGAGAGGGAGAAGGTGACGGTACGGGCGAAGGCCGAGAGAGACATAAGAGTGTGGAGTGAGTGGAGATCGGAAGAGACGAAAATGTGTGTGAATTGTGTGAGAGGGAGCGGGTTGTGTGAGCAACGCGGGAGGAGAGAGGAAGATGTGTGAGGTTAATGAGTGGTGTGAGAGGAAACGAGTTGTGTGAGCAACGCGGGAGAGAAGAGGAAGATGTGTGTAAACTGTGTGAGAGTAAACGGGTTGTGTGAGCAACGCGGGAGGAGAGAGGAAGATGTGTGAGGTTAATGAGCGATGTGAGAGGGAACGAGTTGTGTGAGCAGCGCGGGGGAGGAGAGGAAAATGTGTGTGAATTGTGTGAGAGTGAGCGGGTTGTGTGAGCAACGCGGGAGGAGAGAGGAAGATGTGTGAGGTTAGTGAGCTGTGGGAGAGGGAACGGGTGGAGTGAGGAACGCGGGAGGAGATAGAAAGATGTTGTGGCGGGAGGATGTGGTCCAAGAGAGAGATAGGGAGAGGCAGTGAGTGAACGCTGGGGAAGGGAAGGATCCGCAGGGTGAGTGACGTGCTTGAGGGAGTGGAGTGGGGTAGCTGGAGCTTTGGGAGAGAGTAGGATCGGGGGGGGGGGGGGGGAAGAGAGAGAAAGTGTGGGCCGTGTGAGTAGAGTTCGAGGCGGCGGGGGAAAGACGGTGTGAGTAGGGGCACCTAGGGCATGTCGCAGGTAGTGGGCGAAAAGGGGCAGTGGGAGAGAATGAGTAGTGTGTGTGTGTGTGTGGCCCGATAGGGGTCGATAGGTGGACGACGGTCGCCGATGTTGGTGATGCAAGTGAATGAAAATGGTGTGCATGCGTGACTTGGTATAGGTTGAGAGATGGTTAGTGGTCGCCGATATCGATAACAGGAGAGAATGATCAAAGTGTGTGTGAGTGGCCTAGTATAGATCGAGAGATGGCTAATGGCCGCCGATATTGGTGACGCAAGTGAATGAAAATGGTGTGCGTGCGTGGCCTGGTATAGGTCGAGAGATGGCTAGTGGTCGCCGATATCTGTGACGGGAGAGAATGATCAGAGTGTGTGTGAGTGGCCTGGTATAGGTCGAGAGATGGCTAATAGTCGCTGATGGTGGTGACAGGAGAGAATGATTAGAGTGTGTGTGTGTGGCCCGATAGGGATCAGTAGAGGAATAATGGTCGCCGATGTTGGTGACGAAAA